TGGGCGCGGCTTCTGCTCATACTTTGTGGTGCGGTGGTGGTGCGTCGGGCCGCGCGCTCTGACTTCGGCCAAGAAAAATGCGTCAGCTGATCATTGTCATTTCTGCCACTTGCGTGTGGTGAAATGGGGTCATAACTTAAGAGACGGCTTTTTCATATCAATTATTTTACATAAAATCATATTTCAAACCATAAATAATGTTCGACAGCCAAATAAAAGAAACAATACCAATACAGGCTTACAGTTTAAGGCTCGACATTGTGTTGTCTACGATTAGACAGCTGATAACTCATTCCCATACGTCGTAATTCTATAATGACCTTTGCTTATTGTCACATGTGCGCCGCATTCGCGATTGTTGCCGACGCCTGTTTGCAGGTCAGCCCACTACAGTTGTTATACATATCGAAAAACCGATAAACTTTTAGGCGAAAAAGGCACTATTCCAGGCCCATTTTTGATTTTCTTTGCGATATTAGGTAAAAACAGAAGCTTCTTATCCTAGGAAAAATAAAATGGGAAATCTTTCAAAGGTGGCACACTACCTTTAACGGTTGGGACTGGGAGGCCCCTTAACCCTCGCCCGTATCGGTGTTTTTCCAGCCGCGAACGTATAAGGGGGGGGGGGGGTCCGTTGGACCTCCCCTTGCCGTTTCGCCCTTGATCGATCTAGAGCTTCGCCGAAAAAACGAGCGTGTTACCTGTGACGAGAGGGAGCCGATGATACCCAATTTTAAGGTCCTAGGTCATTGGTTGACCTTGCAGGTCAGGTCAATGACCTAAAAGTCGGGAAAATCGGGACCTGTTAGAACGTCGTAAAGTGTGGCTGCTATGGGGTTTTTCGGGGTGCTGATCACGAATATCATGTTAGTTTTGATCACAGATGATGTCTTCATGCATTTAGTCCAAGTCGGGTCAGGTCAGGTCAGGTCAACCAGTAGGGGTCCTCCGGGTATTCCTAGTAGGTGTCAACCGCCTCCGACAGCTCCGTAACATGTTACGAAGGCACCAAAACTACTTCGTAAATATTCATATGGTTGCTAAATTCGAATTCAGCTCAAAAAACTGGCCTGGAAACATGTAAAACTCGAAACAGTGAACCGAGGTCATCAAAGGTTAATGACCTGACCTGACCTTCAGGTGACCTTGACAGCAGTGCCTGCTATCCGTTCATGTGTGTTACATTTCATGGGTGCCACGGCAGCTCCTTTGGCCTGCCCCGCCCTCCCCGCCCTCCCCGCCCTCTCCTGTCGCCCGCCGCTCCGATGACGCAATCAGGGCCACTTGAGTGGCCAGATTAGTCAGCCGCTCGAACCCAGCTACCAGTGTGGGCTGATGGCCTGATGGCAGGGGACGGGAGTTTGTGGACGAGCCAGCCGGTGGAGTGACGACTTGGGTGGTGGCGACTCCTTTTTACCTCGCAACATTGGACGTACACATGCTCAACATTGGTACCTGATTCAGTAGCCAGTGATCATTATTTTATTGTAGATGACTTAGATAGATAGATCGTATGATAAATATTTGACATAGGTATGACATATTTCTCTGATTGTATGCACACTGTCATCACACTACACTGGAGGGGTGTTCACGGGCACCGCACACTGCTGCGTGCGGTGTGTGCGGTGCGTCCAGGGCCTCGTTTCATAAAGCAAGTCTGTAACTTACGCCGGTTTTTGGGCTTGTATTACAAGCGCATGTGAAGCGATAAATTTATATCCCCTTCTCCCTTCTGTTCTTGCTTGCAAGATAGATAAATTCAACGATTCAAACTATCGTCATCGCTTCACATGCACTTGCAATTCAAGACCAAAAACCGGCGTAAGTTACGGACTCGCTTTATGAAACGAGGCCCTGCAGGCGTGGGGGTAGGGGATGGGTAGGCGGTTCTGACGTCACGGCTGCGTGCGGTGGACGGTCCGCTGTGGCCAGTCCCGACCGGCCACAGCGATCGCTGTGTGCGGTGACGGAATGCTGACGTAGGGACGAAGTGGGCGGAGCTTCGAGGCTGTGTGCGGTCCGACCGCACACAGGGCCCGTGAACAGCCCTAGGGTTTTAACTAGGTAGGGTGTAGGTGCTTTTGGCTTCGCTTCATTTCATATAACTTTGGTTTTTATTACATGGCTATTTTCTACTTTCAGTCTAGTCCACGGAAGTCTGACGTGCTTGATCCTAATTTTTCCAATCGACTCGAGTCACCGCGCAGCGCATTACGCGTAACACTAGGGAGCACAGCGGCTTCTTTCCTTGCCGCTCCAGGCGCCCCGTTCCAGTGGCGGCGGAAGGTAATTTTGGATGGGGGTGCAAAGTTTTCTCAAAGGGCCCCTCTGGAAGTTTTGGGCCCCCCTCCATTTTTTTTTTTTGAGTGATTATTATTGATTTATAAAAAAACGAAGATTTTGGAAAATTATCCCCATACACACAAGTTCTATAAAAGGTTTGAAATTGCAGAGTACCTACCTATCTCAAATAATGAAAGCAGAAAGAAGCAAATGCAGCTAGTTTTTTATCGGCTAATCGTTTAGTCTAGCCACCACCCGCAGCGTCTCAAACCACTTTTCTGGATCCGCAGTGGACCATTGAGGGCCCTAGGTACGAGACCGTTCCAAGAAGACCGTGTTTAGAAGCCCCTTGGAAACTGACCACATAGAGACTCCTCTAGAGACCTACATGACTCCCCAGACTGAATGAGCCCTCCAATCAGGGTCGGCCCCTTGAAAGTTGCTGAAAGGTTTCAGAAGGTAGTATAGGCTCGAAAGTCTTTTGAGGGCTCTCAGAAATCGGCATCGGACCCTAAAAAAGCCTGTATGGAGGCCCTCCAAAGCCGGGATGGAGGCCACAGGAGCCCATGTTTAGCCTAAAGAGCCGGTATGGAGGACTGAATAGAGGAAAGGGGTCTCAGTGGGGCCTTCAGGGGCAAGCGTTTGAGCCCCAAAAGTATGTGTGGGGTCTTAGAGGCAGGTAGACCCCTGGGGTATGCACGGGGTCCCAGGAGCTCGCGTGTGAGCCCAAATATTCGGCTGGCGGCTACTAGAACCAGCATGGGGATTCTTAGAAGCCGCTTAGACCCACATTTCATGGGTCATGAGTCCCAAGAGTCGATGTAGGGGCCATAAAAGCCGGTGTAGGACCCATGGCCCCATAAGTTCCGACATTGAGACTCTCAGAGGCCGGCGACGGGGAACCAAGGGCAGATAAAGTGCCTCAACAAGCCGACATAGGGCCTGAGAATCAGTGTGTAATTCCAGGAGCCTGCGTGAGCTCTCGGAGACCTTCGTATTTCGTAAGGTCCACAAAGGTCCACTGAATCTGAAATCTGAACTCTGCGGGGCCCTCAGAGGCCAGCATGTCTCCTGGCACCTGCCTGCGTTGAGTTGAGACCCTCCGAGGCCGTCGTAGGGTTCTTCAGAGGCCGGCGTTGGCCCTTGAAGCCTTCGTTAGGCCCTAGAAGCCGTCAAGAGGGCCCTCAGAGGTCAGCATGGCCCCTGGAGCCTGCCTGCGTCGAGGCCCTCAGAGGCCGTCGTGGGGCCCTTAGACACCAGCGTGGGCCTTTGGAGCTTGCGTTGGGTCTTAGAGACCATCGTGAGGGCCCAGGGAGGTCGTCGTCAGGGCCCTCAGCCCCTCAGGGACCGTCCTGGGGTCCTCAGAATTGTTGTGAGGGCCCTTAGAAGCCTTCGAGAGGATCATTGATGATCAGAGGTCGTCATGAGGGTCCTTGGCCATAGTGAGGGTCTTCATGGGCCCTCAGATACATTTGCAGGGCTCTCAGAGGCCTTGGTAAGACCGCTAGAGGCCATTGTTAGGGCCCTCAATAGACCGTTGCAGGGCCCTCAGATGCCAGCATAGCCCCTGCAGCCTGGTTGTGTTGGGGCCCTCAGAGGCCGTCGCGGGGCCGTCTGAAGCCAAATGGGCCCTCAGACTTGAGTTGGGTCTAGAGCCGTCACGAGGGCCCTCAGAGACCGTCGTAGAGGCCCTCCGAGGCCAGCGGGGCCCCTGGAGTCCTGTAGGACCCTCAGCGGTTGTCATGAGGGCCCTTAGTGGTCGTTATAGGGCCCCAGGGGACAGAGGTCGTCGTGAGAGCCCTCAGAGATCATCGTAAGGGCCCTCAGAGGCCGTCATAGGGGCCCTCCGAGGCCAGCGTGGCCCCTGGAGTCTCCTTGGGCCCCTGGAGTCTGTGGAACCATCAGCGGTCGTCATGAGGGCCCTTAGTGGCCGTTGTAGGGCCCCAGGGGACAGAGGTCGTCGTGGGAGCCCTCAGAGATCGTCATAAAAGGGCCCTCTGAGGCCGTCGTGGGGGCCCTCAGATGCCGCATGGAGCACCAAACGCGGCTCGGGACACTTCTAGCCGGTGTGGGGCCCCAAAGACTAGCATGGGGCGCTCCTGACCATAATTGGACATCCTGGATGATTCCACATCAGTGTTCGTTTCCCGATCACTGGTTTTCAGGAGAAAATGTATTGGATGGTGCGACGGGCCCCTTGTACGGATTTTGGGGGTGCAAAAAGATATGTTTGCACCCCCATGTTTTTCGATGGGGGTGCAGTTGCACCCCCTGCACCCCCTATTCCGCCGCCACTGCGGCCCGTTCTCAGCGTAACTGGCAGCCTCGCCGGCGCCGGTACCGTTAGTCGACCAATGCGGCCACTCTAGTGTATCGAACGGTCGGCGGCGCGTTCCCACTGCCGGCTGGCCGCCCGGCGCACAGCCGCCTCACTCGGCCCCCAGACGGCGCGCCATCGGCACCGCCGCAGTAACGTGGTTTGTGCCCCTGTGTCGTGCTGAAAGCCGCCTTCTCTGTGAACTGTGCTGAAGGCTGGCTCTCACTTTGCTTCTCTCTCTCTCTCTCTCTCTCTCTCTCTCTCTCTTTCTCTCTCTCTCTCTCTCTCTCTCTCTCTCTCTCTCTCCTCCCTCTCTCCCTTCCTCCCTCCCCTTTGCTGAAGGCTGGTTCTCTCCTTGTGCTGAAGGCTGGCTCTCTCTCTCTCTCTCTGTTCTCAGGAGGTGGTGGACGAATCAGACGGCTGTGGCGGAAAGTTTTCCGTACTGATCGTCTCCAAGCAGTTCGAGGGAAAGCCGCTGCTGGCCCGTCACAGGTGAGGGACAGGGTCTCCGGTGGCCGCTCGGCGCCGGACCAGCGGCTAGCGAGCCCCGCAAAGCCACGGCGATCGTTCGCCACTTGCGCTGCTGCCATAGAACGAGCTGGGAGCCTACGCGGCTCTGGAGAGGCGCTCAGCTGCGGTGTAGCACAGTCTCTGGAGAGGCTGTAGCACAGTCTCTGCAGAGGCGCTCAGCTGCGGTGTAGCACAGTCTCTGGAGAGGCGCTCAGCTGCGGTGTAGCACAGTCTCTGGAGAGGCGCTCAGCTGCGGTGTAGCACAGTATCTGGAGAGGCGCTCAGCTGCGGTGTAGCACAGGCTCTGGAGAGCTGGGAATCTGGTGGCGGCACTTTTTGTGTGTATGAGCTGACCGGCCGGGGCTGTCTGTGAATGGCCGGTGGCTGTCTGGCTGTCTGAGGCTGGACTGTGACTGTCTGAGGCTGGACTGTGGCTGTCTGAGGCTGGACTGTGGCTGTCTGTGGCTGGACTGTGACTGTCTGGCTGTCTGTGGCTGTCTGAGGCTGGACTGTGGCTGTCTGGCTGTCTGTGGCTGTCTGAGGCTGGACTGTGACTGTCTGAGGCTGGACTGTGGCTGTCTGAGACTGGACTGTGGCTGTGTGTGGCTGTCTGAGGCTGGACTGTGGCTGTCTGTGGCTGTCTGAGGCTGAACTGTGGCTGTCTGAGGCTGGACTGTGGCTGTCTGTGGCTGGACTGTGGCTGTCTGAGGCTGGACTGTGGCTGTCTGTGGCTGATTGTGGCTGTCTGAGGCTGGACTGTGACTGTCTGAGGCTGGACTGTGGCTGTCTGAGGCTGGACGTGTGCGCCTGTGTCGCCGCTTCTATTTTCAATAACTTCAAATTATTTAGCTAGATAGGTGTTATGCATAACATTATCCTATCAACTTGTTAACACGCGCACCGACGGGGGGGGGGGGTTCGCGAATAGCGGGAAAACCGCGGCGTAGCGCCGCGAAATTTGGTACGACTATTCTCTCATCAATTTTACACATGGTGTGCAAGTTTGAACCTCCTAACTTTTAAGGTCAGGTCACCAGGTCACTTTGAATGACCCAACCTCAAGTCACTTTTTTGCAACTTTGTCACCGTGCCAGAGCTACAGTAGATGTCGGAGGCCTTTGAAAGTCGCAGGGTGTTATTAGGTCATTAGTAGCTACAATTTGTATATCTCGGAATTTTGATATCGGTGACCTAAGGTCAGGTAAATTTCGCGACCTCCCCATTACAAGTCAATGGGGGAAAAATCAGCTCCCTGTTTTTACCACTAAAACGGGTCGGAATGGCCCCATAAACCATACATAACCTCATATACGATCAACCTTCACTACCTTGAGGTCTGTTTTGCTGTTAGGCAGCTGTAAGGTCATGTGACGTCATCAAAGGTCACCAGCGGTTTTTTGACAATAACTCCGTACAGGAACAAGATACAGCCGCGCGGATGGTCTCATTGTGTTCAGCTCGTCAATGCGCATCGAATGATATACATGATGACCTCGAGATCACGTGACCTGAGGTCAACCTTTGACCTTGTCCTTTCGAGGTCAACATATATATCATTCGATGCGGATTGACGAGAGGATCACGATGCTGCCCTTAGTTTGTTCCTATATTGACTAAGTTCGAAAGTTATTCGAGAAAACCTCTCTCCATACCTAGCGCCGCCATTTTGACTTTTTTGACCCCTGTGACGTCATCTTTGACCCGACCTAAAAATGACCTTAGTAAAAATTGTAGACCTTGTCCGTGCGTATCCGATGCCGTTTACCGCTTGTCGCTATCTTGCTTCGTTCTCGAGATCTCAGGGGGGCGGTCATCCGCCCACCCCCCCGTCGGTACGAAGTAGGCGCAGACCCCCGTCGGTGCGAGTGTTAACCTATTTTCGAAGCACCTGTATTGTATTATAGTCTATTTCTTTAAGATATTTGCGCATTGGTTTTGTTGGCTCAGCTACTTTTTAGCTCAGTTTGTTAAGGACATCACCAGTACGGTCATGGCCTGTGTCATAAGATGCACGCTGTAGCAAAATCCTGCGCCAGCGGCAGGAGTAGAACTGCTGTTTGACGGAGGCACCGGTGTCTGACAACTGCAGGTGGAAACAGTCTGTAGGCCGGCCAGAGGTCATGCTCGTATCGCTCACCCTTGACCCCGTCCATCGCCTCTGGCGGATACTCAACAGGGCGTTCATTGGCTCATTGGTCTGCTCAGTGAGCGCCAATCATAGACAGCTCAGTGAGCGTGCCGCTAGTAAACTCACAAGAAGCATGATACCGCTATAAGATTTCACTTGGAAGAGGCTATCTGGACGACATTGCCAGTTAATACGGGTGGGGGGGGGGGAGGAATTCGGGATCCAATTGTATTTTATATTCAAATAGCCAGAGAATGGCATACCACAACATTTTTCTCGCCGTTCACTTGATTTCATTGTGGTCGGTGGTGGGCAGTCGGTGGTCGGTGGTCAGAGCGGCTGTCGGTGGTCAGTGGTCAGAGCGGCTGTCCGTGGTCAGTGGTCAGAGCGACTGTCGGTGGTCAGTGGTCAGTCGTCAGAGCGACTGTCGGTGGTCAGTGGTCAGAGCGGCTGTCGGTGGTCAGTGGTCAGTGGTCAGAGCGGCTGTCGGTGGTCGGTGGTCAGAGTGGCTGTCAGTGGTCAGTGGTCAGAGCGGCTGTCGGTGGTCAGTGGTCAGAGCGGCTGTCGGTGGTCAGTGGTCAGAGCGGCTGTCGGTGGTCAGTGGTCAGAGCGGCTGTCGGTGGTCGGTGGTCAGAGTGGCTGTCGGTGGTCGGTGGTCGGTGGTCAGAGCGGCTGTCGGTGGTCAGTGGTCATTGTTCAGAGCGACTGTCGGTGGTCAGTGGTCAGAGCGGCTGTCGATGGTCAGTGGTCAGTGGTCAGAGCGGCTGTCGGTGGTCAGTGGTCAGTGGTCAGAGCGGCTGTCGGTGGTCGGTGGTCAGAGTGGCTGTCAGTGGTCAGTGGTCAGAGCGGCTGTCGGTGGTCAGTGGTCAGAGCGGCTGTCGGTGGTCAGTGGTCAGTGGTCAGGACGGCTGTCGGTGGTCAGTGGTCAGAGCGACTGTCGATGATCAGTGGTCAGTGGTCAGAGCGGCTGTCGGTGGTCGGTGGTCAGAGCGGCTGTCGGTGGTCAGTGGTCAGTGGTCAGAGCGGCTGTCGGTGGTCAGTGGTCAGAGCGACTGTCGGTGGTCAGTGGTCAGAGCGACTGTCGGTGGTCAGTGGTCAGTCGTCAGAGCGACTGTCAGTGGTCAGAGCGGCTGTCTGTGGTCGGTGGTCAGAGTGACTGTCGGTGGTCAGTGGTCAGAGCGGCTTTCGGTGGTCAGAGCGGCTGTCGGTGGTCGGTGGTCAGAGCGACTGTCGGTGGTCGGTGGTCAGTGGTCAGAGCGGCTGTCGGTGGTCAGTGGTCATTGGTCAGAGTGACTGTCGGTGGTCAGTGGTCAGAGCGGCTGTCGGTGGTCAGTGGTCAGAGCGGCTGTCGGTGGTCAGTGGTCAGTGGTCAGAGCGGCTGTCAGTGGTCAGTGGTCAGAGCGGCTGTCCGTGGTCAGTGGTCAGAGCGACTGTCGGTGGTCAGTGGTCAGAGCGGCTGTCGGTGGTCAGTGGTCAGAGTGGCTGTCGGTGGTCAGTGGTCAGAGCGGCTGTCGGTGGTCATTGGTCAGAGCGACTGTCGGTGGTCAGTGGTCAGAGCGGCTGTCGGTGGTCAGAACGGCTGTCGGTGGTCAGTGGTCAGTGGTCAGAGCGACTGTCGGTGGTCAGTGGTCAGAGCGGCTGTCGGTGGTCAGTGGTCAGAGCGGGTGTCGGTGGTCGGTGGTCAGTGGTCAGAGCGACTGTCAGTGGTCAGAGCGGCTGTCGGTGGTCAGTGGTCAGAGCGGCTGTCGGTGGTCAGTGGTCAGAGCGGCTGTCTGTGGTCAGTGGTCAGAGCTGCTGTCGATGGTCAGTGGTCAGTGGTCAGAGCGGCTGTCGGTGGTCAGTGGTCAGAGCGGCTGTCCGTGGTCAGTGGTCAGAGCGACTGTCAGTGGTCAGAGCGGCTCTCGGTGGTCGGTGGTCAGTGGTCAGAGCGACTCGGTGGTCAGTGGTCAGTAGTCAGAACGACTGTCAGTGTCAATTCGGGATCCAATTGTATTTTATATTCAAATAGCCAGGGAATGGCATACCACAACATTTTTCTCGCCGTTCACTTGATTTCATTGTGGTCGGTAGTGGGCAGTCGGTGGTCGGTGGTCAGAGCGGCTGTCGGTGGTCAGTGGTCAGAGCGGCTGTACGTGGTCAGTGGTCAGAGCGACTGTCGGTGGTCAGTGGTCAGTCGTCAGAGCGACTGTCGGTGGTCAGTGGTCAGAGCGGCTGTCGGTGGTCAGTGGTCAGTGGTCAGAGCGGCTGTCGGTGGTCGGTGGTCAGAGTGGCTGTCAGTGGTCAGTGGTCAGAGCGGCTGTCGGTGGTCAGTGGTCAGAGCGGCTGTCGGTGGTCAGTGGTCAGTGGTCAGAGCGGCTGTCGGTGGTCGGTGGTCAGAGTGGCTGTCGGTGGTCGGTGGTCGGTGGTCAGAGCGGCTGTCGGTGGTCAGTGGTCATTGGTCAGAGCGACTGTCGGTGGTCAGTGGTCAGAGCGGCTGTCGATGGTCAGTGGTCAGTGGTCAGAGCGGCTGTCGGTGGTCAGTGGTCAGTGGTCAGAGCGGCTGTCGGTGGTCGGTGGTCAGAGTGGCTGTCAGTGGTCAGTGGTCAGAGCGGCTGTCGGTGGTCAGTGGTCAGAGCGGCTGTCGGTGGTCAGTGGTCAGTGGTCAGTGGTCAGTGGTCAGGACGGCTGTCGGTGGTCAGTGGTCAGAGCGACTGTCGATGGTCAGTGGTCAGTGGTCAAAGCGGCTGTCGGTGGTCGGTGGTCAGAGTGGCTGTCAGTGGTCAGTGGTCAGAGTGGCTGTCGGTGGTCAGTGGTCAGAGCGGCTGTCGGTGGTCAGTGGTCAGTGGTCAGAGCGGCTGTCGGTGGTCAGTGGTCA